ACACACACACACCCTGGAAGCTAACGGTACCCTCATACACCGAGACAAAAACGATTAATGTGCCGCTCGCCTCTCACAGACGACTGACCGAACGCTATTGTGCTGATGTATAACTCATGGAGAAGGTTCAAGTTTCCTTTTACAATACTTATTTTCCTTCCCTCTCAAAAACAAAACTCAGGTAATCAAATAAAACCAAATATACAAAGCAAGCAACCATTAATCATATTTTACAGACCTGACCGTGCAGTTTAACCAAAGTACAAAACGATTATTAAAGGAGAGAGAAAAAAAAATGAGGAAAAGGAGAAAAAAAGAAAGTTGCTTAAAGATAGATGCCTACAAGATCCTATTCCAAGCCCTGCACACCTGTGCTTGCACATCATCCCAAATGACAGCTCTGCTTTCATCAATCATCTTTTGAGTGTTATCAATGCAAAAGCACTCCATAGCCCTGAAGCCCTAAATTGATCTTGGCAGTAAGTGTGAGTCATAGCTACTGGCCAGCTGTGATTTTCAAGGACGGAAATAATTAATCAAATATTGCTCCTAAGTACGCAATCTGACAATAATCACATCAGTGTCGTAAAGGGCAGCCTGTAATCACTTAATAACCAACTGGAGGAGCAGTTTTTACAAAAGATAATATTAAATTTTATCCAACTTAATTGTTGAAAATGAATGTGCTGTAGGCTACTTGTTTTTTTTTTTAATAAATAATATTAATGTAGCGACACAAAGTTTCATCTTATCAAGATCTTGAGTTGATTTTCCATTGTAGCTTTGAATTTAAGCTCAGTAACAGGCTCTCAAAATTGCCCATCAAGGGTCATGGCATACAATACAATGTATGTTTAGATTCCAAAATGTGCGGTTCAAACAAAGATTTAAATCTCTGATGTGATAGAGAACATCATAAAACTAAGTGGAACAAACACAGACTTTGGGAGAGAAAACAGTCATGGTGTGAACACTGGGAATTCAGTATAAAACAAAAGGAGACAAACAATAAAACACTCTCTGCAACATTTATAAGTTAAAAATACCTTTAAATCACCACCAACCCCTCCCCCAAAAACAGAATTCAGAAATTGGTAATGTCACACAAACATTGTCTTTTCACCTTTATCCTTACTATGGCATCTCCAAACCAACCAAAAGGATTACGAGTTTGGGAGAAAAACATAAAAAGTTATCACTTTGTCTCAAATTATATTTCACGCATGTATACTCCTCACACTGAACCCCGATGGTTTTTGGATTAAAAATGATCATGTGGAAGTTTGAAGGAGTGGGAAAACAGAGAAATACAGTTCTATTACCATTCATCTTTGTCTTCAAGTCCTCCCTATAGAATGGAGAGGTACCAAATTTAACCTCAAGTTCTGAGATGTAAAAAAATAACTAATATCTTCAACAGTACACTCAGATCAAATGCATGTTATGTAAGATAAGTTGAAAGCTGGAAACTTTTTCAGTGACTATCCAAATTAATAGTTCCTGTTTCATGCTTTAAAACACACCAAAATCAACACAAACTATTCTACTAAAAAGGTTTTTTTAACATACCCGAAATGACGATGCACGTATCACGAGCTTGTCTTCGCATGGTTTTGTGGGCATTATCCGCCAGAGCAAAAATATGTGGGGGCCGCTCATAAATCTCTCTGTCCTTATACTGCTGGACAAAGCTGTTATTGTAAATATCCATAGACCTGTACGGATTCACTGAAACGACCACTTCGCCAATGTAGGTGTAAATTTTCCCTTTGTTGAATCTGAAATGAAAGATGCAACAACACACATTATCATGATGATTACAAATATTTTAAATATCTCCCTAAATGTAGCCTACCAATAGCTTTGACAGTGCTTATTGAAGGGATCACTCCTATGCAGTTACGTCACAATTTCCAGAAATTCAAGAAGAGCCCTCACTCGAGCCTAATTTCAAAATAAAAAAAGAACCCCCCCCCCTGCAGACACAAAAAAAATCAGATCTGTACAATTGTAAGCTAGACAGCACATCTATTACATATTTGGCAACTTGGAAACACATGTGTCACTTTTCCCATAAAACTACGACAACAACAGAGTTGAAAGTTGGCAAGTACCTACCTGCAAAAAAATGGATAGGTCCCAATGACGGAGCCCGATTTTTTATTTATTCATTTCCTGAATTTAGAAAAATATATTTGACCGTACTTCTTCAAGGCCTTTGTGATTATTCTACTGAGAAACAAAACAAATCTGCGTAGCTCTCCTTCACAACGGAAGTTCAGTACCGCTCTTTAACGTTCCCCTAAGAAACATGATTCAAGAGACGGGGTGAGTAATTTTTTAGACTTACCTGTAGTACATGGAGACGTGATCCTGTGTATGCATTCAAAGAGTTGTTTTTAATATAGGGCCCAAAGAGAAAAACTTTTCTATTACTGGGTCAAGATTTTTTTTTTTTTTTTTTTTTTTTGGGTGGCTAGCCTGTAGAAGTGCCATGCAAAGTTTCGTGGGCAAATAGGTAAATTTGTCAATGAGCTAGAATTTTTTTTTACAGAGGAAAGTGAACAAGCTATCTATAGACACTGCCTCTGTGATTTCGAAGACGTCGGTGTGTTCCTTTTACAGTGTAGCAGCCCTTTCGTGGATTATTATTTTCTTAGTGCTTTTTTGTGATGGTGTAAGGAGAAACCCGTATTTTGGGATTGTGAAGGGCTAGAGAGCAATACACTAAAGCAATGTAGATCAAGAGAGGAGTTAAATTAATCAAGGCAGACCTAATCTAAAAGTAATAGTAATATAGATCTAGAAGCCAGGTGTGACTGTTAAAAGCTAGAGACAGTAATAGATGTAAAATGCCTCCGCGGCATAGACCAGTAGGAGCACTGACGCCAAGACGTCGACCCCGAACAAAGCCGGGTACCCAGCTAGTTCATTATATAACTGACAATGGAAACAACTGTTTTTAGAAAAGATAAGATATGATATCATTTTTATATGATTAAAGCTGCTTCAAATGAAAACTAACACCAAAATAAACATTATTTAGCTTCAAAAGTCCTTTACATTTGAAAAAAACAACAACACATTACTGTAGGCCTACACTTCAATTTTTTGTTAATAAATGCTCAGAAATGTTATTTTTCTCATGTTTATCTATCACTACTGTCTATCATCTAGTATTCTTCCAAGCATTAAAACATCACATCATCTTGAGCACTTAGACCCTCTCCCTGCCTGCAAGTTCAAATATTTTTTAATCAACTTGAGGATCGTGTTGGTTCATCAAAAATTGGGTGTCAGTCCATTAGACAGTCTACAGATGTTTCTGTTCTACGTCACAGTCACAGCCTACCACTGGACCACTCTTATCATTCCTCTAGAGAGCCTACTAGGCTTCTACAAACCATAAGACTAAACATTTTCCCCCTGCATTTTTATACAGGCTTGGGATTGTCCCTCGTGTAGTAAAAACTGTTTCCTAAAGGCTACATACAGGCCCCCCTACACAATCATGTATTAGTACTATTGGCATTGGGGCTGAGGGAAATATTGCACAGGTAGGCAAATACAATAGTCAATAGTAAAATAATACAAAGGGCAGATCTATTCATTTAACCATTAATCAATTCAATCCCTAGTCTATGCGCGTCTTCTAAAGACAACGAACAAAAAAGTGCTATCTAGACTAGATAAGAAGCCAGACAAAACTTAAAGAGAATGCGGAAGCGCAAGAGTTGAGTCACACCGACACCGGTACGGAACCGCCCGCTTCGAAGCTGTAAAGTAGAGATTAATCAAGGTAATTTTGACAAACATTGTCTGCGAGTTAAAATTAGAGAAGAAGCCAATACACAACACAATTATAAATCCAATCTCACCTGTGTTTCAGGTTGTCCATAAAAGCATCCAAAGAGAGTTCATGAAGAAGAACGAAATCGCCAACCCCAAACTCGGGGCCTTCGTGTATGCCCGCCATACCGTTAGCTTTCCGTGAAACGAATGACAGAAGAAAACACTTGCAGTGTGTTCTTCTAGTGCCAGCAGTGGGCTGGGCTCAGTGGGCTGGGCCTACCTGTTGGCGCAGATTAGCCAGGACGCACAGGAAATGTAAGTTTATGGCGTCAGATAGATAAACAATGTAACTTTAAACATTTTTTCTTGCTGCAGCCTTAAAGTTATTGCCTCTATTAAATGTTTATATAAGTTAGAAATATTTTTTAAAGAGTGATTAGGACATTATCTTTTTCAATCGTATAAATAAAACAGCTTTAGATACCTTTACTGTAGCCAACCTGGCATTCTATGTTTTAGTCTCTACTAAATGCAGAAACAATACAGGAATTTTAAATCTGAAATGCGCGCTTTCCAATAATCGACGAGAGTTGGGGTGCTATTTCCTTCATGGTTTTTTTTTTAAATAAAAGTTTCTGCCGTGTTGCCTTTTGCTCTAAATAAAATTACAGTAATATCAATTGTATGTAACACAACACATGCATTTTATCTCAAAACTTTGTCTCGGTTTTCTTTTCAAAATAAGTCATAGGTTTAATTAAGACGACTTAATTCTTTTTTTTTTCCTCTTTAGAAAATGTGCCTTCCATTTACAAGAAAAGAAATTAAGGGCTCTTCAGACTAGACTCACGTTATCCGCTTTATCTCCATAGTAGCAGCTATGAATGAGACTAAACAAGGAGCAGAGGTAAATTTTTACAAAATGCGTTAGTGAAGTTACTGATGACATTCAAACGGTTTCGTTAAGTGTGCTTTTAACCTCCACGTATACCATCATCATCATCATCATCATCATCATCATCATCATCATCATCATCATCATCATCGTCATCGCCATCACCATCATCATCATCTATAATAATAATAATAATAATAATAATAATAATAATAATAATAATAATAATAATAATAAATAATAATAATAATAATAATAATAATAATAATAATAATAATGTAGATCATTTCTACAGCAACCACTCCCGAGTGAACACACCTTTGGCGCTTTACATATATGCATGTACAAACAATATTCACACGTGCACGCGCGCCTACTTGCTTATCACACGCGCCTGCTTTCACATCGTTACGAAATTAGCAAATACAAATATAACATAATAAAATGATATACAAAATGCAATTCGCTGATTAACAAAATACATAAATGGATACCTAGTCATTTACATAACATTATACAGAACATGAATTCACTAATTTATTTAAATTTGTCTTAATTACTAAAGATGTTTTAAAGTTAGACTCAGATATTGTATGTTTGAAGGTTGGGGAAGAGGGTTCCGAACTGATGGAGCAAGCGTAGGCAAACGATCTTTCAGCTAATTTTCTACCTCCTCTTCTGGGAACTCTTAAAATATACTGATCGCCTGATCTCAGTGATCTATTAGATGGAGCATCAATCTGGATGAGATCACTATAAGATATGAGGAGGCTTTGGTATTGACACATTTATGACATATTATTGCAATTTTATATTACCTTCTACCTGACACAGGGAGCCAGTGCAACGTTCTTAACATGGGAGTACAAATGTAATATGATCCCTCTTCTTTTTCTTTAGTACAAATATCTGATCATCGTCATGATCATCATCATCATCATCATGATGATCATCATCATGATCATCATCATCATCATAATCATCATCATCATCATCATCATCATCATCATCATCATCATCATCATCATCATCAGAGACTGCGGTCGGGCCATCATTAGAGCTTGAGATGCTATAAGAACTTTGTAAATGAAGAGCTCAGCCCGCGTTGCCGAAGATGGGGCCATGAAAAGGAGGAGGTCAAACATATGTTTGAATGTCCAAGAACAATGGCAATTCGAATGGAGTTATTTGGACAAGTGGAGGTACCGCTAGGCATATTGACAATGGAGCCGCAAATTTAAAGAGCCTCAATGATGGTCCGACCGCAGTCTCGCTAGCTCAACCTGGTCCCAGCGACATGTGATAGATTTTTGTTCCCGCTTATAGGAGTACCCAGAACACACATCTTCCAGGTGCAGGTACTTAGCTGTACATGGTGGGTCTCTGATTTCCCTCTTGATCATTGGAAAGACTCCTCTGTATGTTGTTGGTCGTCTGTCTCCTTCAATCTCTCTGGCTTCATTAGCGGCTTGGTCTGCTGCCTCATTTTCTTCTATTCCAACATGGCTTGGAATCCACTGGCTTTTTATTGTGACTGTGGCTTCACTGAACTTGCGGCGCAAATCATTCCTGTCCGAGCTGTTGCCTAGCAGTCCCTTGCAGAAGGACTGACTGTCAGTCAAGATCAGCACATTGGTTCTGCCGTGGCAATTGTCAGCAATCTATTGTGCAGCAGACATCATTGCCTGGCATTCCTCGTCATAAGATGATGTAAGGAATGCACCTTTAGTTTTTATAATTTCTGTTCGTGGTGGTTCATTATTCATTATCACCCCTGCTGCTGCTCCACCTTCGTTGTATCCTGCGACAGCCAATCCATTGGTGAAAATTGTCACATCCGCACCAATCTGCAGGATCACCACCCTTTCCTTTTACTCCTCTCAGTTCTGTCTGAATTTCGATTTCGGCAGCATGGGTCTCCCATGGACAAGCTCTCACCATATTGATCGGCCATCGATTCTCTGCTTCTGGGGTGAAAGCATCTAATCTCAGGGCCTTGCTGGTTCTCTTCAGAAAGCCCTGCCATTTGACATGCACACCTGCAAGCTCTGATGATGGTGAAGATGATGATGATGATGATGATGATGATGATGATGATGATGATGATGATGATGATCATGATGATGATCATGATGATGATGATGATCATGATCATGATCATGATCATGATTATCATGATGATGATGACTAAGCTTTAGAAATGATTACTTTTATTGTTACAATTATAATTTTTCCCGGTTAAAATTAATACCAAGTATTCATAGTATTATGCACAGAACACATCTTGATGTGATCTTGGCGGGGCTTTCTGAAGTGAACCAGCAAGGCCCTGAGATTAGATGCTTTCTCTCGAGGAAGGAATGCGTTTGTGCAGAGGCATACATTTAATCACGTGATCGATATATCTAAGCTGAAGTGAGAGATTTTCTCCTGGTTGCTTTTTCTTCTTAATTTATTTCTTTTACATGCGGCACCAAAAATTTTACTTTGAATCAAGAATTCCGATGTAAAACATCAGACATGGCGCCATAAAGTTGGTTTTGTTTTAATACTTTGAAAGCAATTTTTAAATTGTAAAAAAAGTGTGTGGGGGGGAGGGGGGAGGGGGAAGGGGAGGGGGAAGGGGAGGGGGAAGGGGGGAGGGGGAAGGGGAGGGGGAAGGGGGAGGGGGGGGAGGATGTTTGTGATAATTTAATCGTTCTTAAGTTTTGGGTCTTATTTGTACTTTTTCTACATCTTGTTTTAGACTGAACTGACACTGTTGACGCTCAGCCACAGAATTCTACACTAAGTGTAGAATTCTGTGCGCTCAGCAACAACAGTATTTTTCGGACTGCTACAACTGGATCCTGATCTACACCACAATGCAACCAGGCGCGAAAGACAAAATGGAGGTAGACGAAAACGAAAACCGAGCTGACACTAGCATCTGCATACCTGTCGGAGAGGCTGTCGACGAACCCTCATTTTCAAGCACTTATGACAGTGATAAGCCAAACAGCCATTTCTCCGAAAAGGTGCTCTCTGCGAGTGCTTCGAAAATGCAAGATGCACTCACAAAGTCAGTTCATCGTATGACTTCGAGGACGAAGTAAGTACACAATTTGGTGCTCCTGTCCTGTACAGTTGAAATTGTGGTCCTGTTTGCACACATGGCGATTATTAAACGTAGAACGAAAGACCGTACCAAGATGTTTCAATTGCCCTATAGATCTAGATAGATCTCGCGTCGGCACGAGACTTTCGCACTTCCTTGTGCTGGCGCGTGGCGGCCTGTGATACAAGCGTAAATAAACGTCCCAGAGCTCTTTTTTAGTTGAAAACATGCAGTTTTGTCTGCGGACAGGGAGAGAGAGAGAAGGGGAAAGGGAGAGAGAGAGAAGAGGGGAGAGAAAGAGAGAGAGGAGGGGGAAAGAGAGAGAGAAGGGGGGAGAGGTGTTTCAAGTCATTATAATAAATAGGAAGTGCCTATTTGCAACGCCGCGTTGTGATTAGCGCCAGTGCTAAATAAAACGCCGCGTTGCGATTAACGCCAGTGCTAAATAAAACGCTGTGTCGCCATGTGTAAAATATTAACTCATCTTATCCTGCGTCTGTGCCCAGATGCGTATCTTATCAGCAACCGATTACATCGGACGTGCCGGGCAAGCCGCCGGGGTCACTCAGTGTGTACTGTTGGTGTACAGCGCGCGCGCCGGGAAACGTGTGTTTTCGCCATGAATACCGCTGGAGTGTGTTAACCGATGATGAAAATAACGCTCTATCTTTCATCATCATCATCATCATCAATGCCTTTCACCCCTGGCAGGGTATAGGCCACATACAAGCTCCTTCCATTTATCTCTGTCCTGAGCCATCCTTCCAAGCTCGTTCCAAGTGAGCTTCATTTCTCTCATGTCCCTTTCCACGCATCTCCTCCATGTTTCCCGTGGCCTACCCCTGCCTCGTGCTCCCTGGGGGTTCCACTGCAGTGACTGTCTTGTGATGTTTCCGCTGGGCTTTCTTAAGGTGTGTCCCATCCATCGCCACTTTCTTAGTCCTATTTCTACTCTTGGTGGGAATTACTGTTTTCATTTTCTGTAAAGTAAATGTTGGTGTTTTTTGTGATAAGTCTTCTCTGTTAGTGTTAGTGCAAGGGCTTGATGGTATGTGTTTGCGGGGTTAAGGCATGTCTTGCCTCTCATCACAGAAAGCGAGCTTGTACAGAATGTCCCCTTGTGAGGAATAGCAGAGCGCTTGTATGTCAACCACTTTTGCGTTCCCGACTTTTCACTCTGGTCGAATGGTCGAGTATTCTTGAACTGGATGAATATTTTCTGAAGAAAGTATAGTCTAGGTATTTGACTTCGTATGGTCGAGGGCTTTGAAGCGCCAGTCTGAAAATATTAGCTTAGAAGGTACGCGGGTGTTTTTGAGGGATCGCACAATGATGCTATAAACACTATCAACCTCCATTTGAGTGTGCTACTTTGTGAGATGTTTCTCTTCAGTTGTGATGTTGAGGACATGAGCTAGAGCTGAGAGGGCACTGGCCAGTGTGGCGTTTTTATTCTGGTAAAGGCATCCATCACTGTACAGTATTTTTTTGCCATTATATGTCTTGACAAGGGATCATATACATTTAGTCTATGATGCAAGATAAATATTCATCAGAATTTAAGTTAGTCCACCCTCCCCTTCAGGCAAGACAAGTAATTTAAGACCTGCTGTGGGGCTCGACCTATTCAGGAAAGAGTTCAACCAAAATAATTTTGCATTCTTCCAGCCAAAAAGAGACCAATTTAACGTGTGTTGGGTACCAAACAGGCAACGTAACAGAAGATGTGTCGGTAGTTCATAAAGAAAACAAAGAGGCAGCGAGGCAAGAGAAAGAAATGGATAAAGATAGCCCTGGAGACCCAAACAAAGGAACTATCAGACAGAGTGGGCGTCGTCTGCATGGATCTTCAATGTGTCTTGTTGTGTCGATGCTCAAGGCCCCCACTCTGTACTATTGAACAAAGCTTGCCGTGCATAACTGTACTGTCTTCAATATGGAAACCCAGGGCTTGAAATGTTATGTCTGACCTGAGGGGGAAGGTGGACTAACTTAAATTCTGATGAATTTTCATCTTGCATCGTCGTAGACTAACGATCCCTTGCCAAGACATATGGCAGAATAATACTGTACAGTGATGGATGCATTTACCAAAATCAAACATGGAGGATTGTATAATTTAATTGTTTTCTGCTTGTAAAAGCTAATGAAAATGAGTATTGCCAAAATGAATGCTACTATATTGATGCTCTAATATCAAGATCACTTTAGTAAGGTGCGTAGCCTCTGTGGCAGGCAAGCAGCAAAAATCTGGTCGGGGAATGAGAATGTTCAGTGCTGGTTAGTGGTTTGGTTGACGGTCTACCGTGCTTCCGCGGTCTACTGTAAGTCCCGCCAGGTCGACCTCGGTTTACGGCGATCTGGGTAGTTTATCGCATTAATTCCACTTGATTGGTCTTAATAACAGCAGCCCTGGAGGCCATTTAGACCAAATGCAGTGGCATTACACTATTGTTGTGTGTGGGTGGGTGGATTGCTTCATTTTAGGGCGTCGATTAGTATACTTTAAACAAATTTGTGGTGGTAAAAATTATGACTGACAACTTAGTTGCGACAGCAAGTGACCAGGGGAGACTTTTCAAAAGCACCTTGACAAGCACCTCCAAAACATTTTTGATCTGGCATATATGACAGACCCAACCCATTCATGCAAACGGAAAATGCAAACTGATGCTTGTCACAAGTCTCAAGCCTATATAAACTGGTAGAGTTTTTACTAAAGTAGTTGTCAGACCAGTCCAACAATAGACTGTCAACTAAACCAGAAACATCTCGGTAGACCTTCAACTAAACTAGCACCAGACGTTGTTCATTGTATTCAATATTGACATAGATCTATGAGTTGACTCTAGTTTGATATTCTAAGGTTCAATGTGGTTGTCTGCAATTTCCTTTTATCGTTCATACTTCATTTAGTTTTTCTTTATTTGCAGAGTTTTGGGATACATCAAAGAACATTTCCAACAAGTTTACAGGGCTGACAGTAAAAATGTTTTAGCTCTCTATAAATCCATGATGGCTCAGCTGGAAGCCATGATTATGGTAAGTTGATTAATGTTTTCTTGTCTGTTCATGTGAAAGATATCTGGGGTGTGATATAGAGTTTCTGAATTTGTATATCATTTATATAATATATGTATATTTTACTTTGTATGTTCAGCTTTATATATATTGTATCATTTGCTGCTCTTCAGAGAAAGTGAATAGCTTATTATTTGATTGAAGAGGGCTTTTACTAAATACAGTGGGGGGGGGGTTACTCATTCCCAATACTTTATGTTCTTTCATAAGCTCATTCAGCTATATTCAAAAATAATTTTGTAGAGGTCACATTTTTTTTTAATTTCAAAGGTCAGACTTCATATTCAAAATTTTGGATAGACTGATTTCAAGAAAAGTGCTTTTGATAGTACTTATTTATATATTATATATCTTAGATGGGGTATTAATGTCTCGTTTTTATTCTGATTTCAAAATTTCATAAGCTGCTTGATTGATACATTATGATTATCTCCATGCGATTTAAAAAAAAAAAAAATTATTACAGGAGGAAATAGAGATGCAGCTGGGTGCAAATAATGTCCATCAACTGTTGGCAGACTTGGACTCACTCAAAGAGTTAGGAACCAGTGACAAGATATGGTGAGCTTGAATCTTTAAATTGATGGCTTACATGGTGCTTTTCCTTTTCGTTGACTCCTTACTGTTGATCAATATTGGAGCCTTGTGTATGCTTTTTAATCTGCCCCTTGACTGTAAAGAATGGGATAAAGCATAAACAACATTGGGCAACGTCCTCTATTTTTATCACCTCTGATAACAATATAGATAATGATGCCATTGTAGATTCCAAAGTATGGGGAAACCCCCCGGGGCAGTGCCACTGACTGTAGTGTCTTTAGGCCATTCCCAAAGGGGGGACATTTCTCGTTCCAGCACAGTAGAATTGCAAATGGGCTGATTAATGTCACGCTCATAACTGTGCCTGATCTGCAACAGGGAACTGCTGCTTTTTTTTTTCTTAATCCTTACTGTTGTCATTTTCCTCTACTTCTTTTGTATGTTTGTCACTCTCTTGTGACTTGCTATATCTGGGGTGCCTTTATAGTCGAAGCAGACCTTGTGCTGTTGAAGCTAGAGAGGTGAGCAGAATAAGTCTGATTCACTGTAAAGACTTCTCTGTTGACACCCACCCCTTGGCGCTCATATGACCGTATGCAGTTGCAAGCGCCGTAAAACCCTCTACTATAATAAAAAAAAGTATGGGGAAACATAGATTCAAAGGAGTAAAAACAAAGCAGAATTATCTATAGAAAGTCCCTGGCTAGTGTGTTTTGTTCGAGAAAAGAGGAGCAAAAGAAAATTTGTCATTTGCCTGTGAGTTCTTTTGAAGGAAGAGCATTTTCAGCTAGGCTGCCTTAGAACTGGATATTAATGAACTATTGACAATTATCAAACCTGTTCAGACAGTAGGCATTACCTTTCTGTTTAATGTTGGTAACCTCACAATTGGGTGACAAACACACCCTACCCCAAGTTTGTGTGTTCTGACAAAATATAATATGTGACTCGAAACATTTTTTCTATTGTGGTTGCTTTTCTGGTACAGATAAGAAAGGTGATTATGGCTACAGGCAAAGTTAGTCTTTGGATTGTCAATGAACTCTGTCAAATATTTTGATTCTAAAAAAAAAAATAGCTGGTAAAATGTGTCAAATTTTAGAAAGAGGACTTCAAGTAGCCTACAGTCAGACCTCATTATACCGCCTATCTTGGGACAAGCATGTAGTTGGTGGTACAGTGGGGCTAGTGATATAACAGGGCAGTACCTATTGCCATCTTGACGAGTGGTAGACCGGTAGAGACCATAATACGTAAAAAAAATTTGTGGCACAACTTTATCCTCAAATATATATCTTTAACAGGGGAATCAATGTCACTCATATTTTGCACAACAGTTTGCATCAATTTGTCTCAACTTAATCGCATTTTTCCACAACAATTGGGACTAGCTTAAAAAACTTTTTTTTCATAAATATATATGAAATGCTACGTCACAGCACGCCAATGATACTTTTTAGTTGTAAAACTAGCTAACGCATAATTGCGATCTCCTGATAAATGACAAGTGGTATTGTAAAACATTTCTACTTATACTTTATAACTAATCTGATGAGAAGCAGCATGATGGTGAGAATGAATGGTAGTTGCATGGATATTGTGGCTGGAAGGTTCCTTGGTTTGATGTGGTCATTCTTGACTCTATTGGCAGTGAGAAAGTTTTGCTCCGCACCATTAATTGCACTAAAGGTGATCAAAACATAGTGTCATGATTGGAAGAAGCAGGATGGGCTTGCTTTTAAAAGTCCTATTGTCCCCGGTCATAGGATGTAAACCTTTTAAAATCTTTAGAAACCATCGACTGGGGGTTTTATTAGTATTTATTAAGGAATTTTCTAGAATATAGTACTCATGTGTTTTTAAAAAGATAATCAATTGTTGAGACAAATTGATATAAGTCATTGTGCAAAAGTTGGAGAGTCTATGTTTGATAGTTGAGAAGATATTTGACAATGAGTTGCACCACACAGTTTTGACTGCACAATAGAGACAAAGTGTGGCCAGTCTTGCCTCACGTAGATTTGTCTTGCATGATTGCCATGTTCGGGAAAAAACCAGATCGCTACCAATTACACTTTCAACTTGAGCTAACGTTTACGTAAATCCGAATTAAAGGAAATTTGGATCAGAGGCTAGGCTATGTGTGTCAAGGACCCTTTAGGAATACATTTTTTTTGTTTGTTGTTGTTTTTTAAAAATCCGATTCTATTCAGTCCTCCGGCCGCCTTAGATCTGCCATCTAGACTTAAACGTGAGTCCTCACAATAAAAGCATCATAGGCTCTCGCCAGCTTTTTGGTCATCTGGCTTATATCTGGCGATTCCTGAGAAATTTCTCCAGGCAACTTAAATATTTCAAATCCCCCCCCCCCCCCTTTTTTTTTGTTACACTAAAAGCCATAGCATTTTCATAATCGATGCTAATCAGTAGCTAATCGGCAAGTGCTAAAAATAGAGTAAGCTCCCAGAGGTGTGTGTAGGAAAGAGATGAATAAGCAGCGGCCATGTGTAGTTTGTACCTCAAGCAGCTAATTTGCTGGTGGTATGCAAAGGGGGGGGGAGCAAATTTACATTACCTTAATAAAAAGTTAATATGGACTGTACAGCTCAGACAGTTGGCCATGTTAAGGTGCAAATACTATGTTCACGTTGGTGTTCCTTTTCGGGGGGGGGGGGGGACTAGCAGTCAAGGCTGATGGTAAGCGGGGCTGGTGGTATAATGGGGGGGGGTGTTATAAAGAGGTTTGACTGTATGGGAGACGATTCTTAAAAATCACTCTCTCGTAAATTAGTCAACTTCTGTCTTATCATGATATGATATTTAACTTAGCTACTAATAACTAAGTATTATTTTGAGATAGAACTCTATTTTTGCAATGTTGAATTTTATTAATAATGACTCACATTAGTGGAATACTGTGTGCTTGAAAAATCTTATGTTTTTGCTAGAGCCTCTTTATTGTCCATTCATAGTCATGTCTTTCTTTTTACAATCTGTCATATATTTTTTTCTTTTTTTTTCTTTCCAGGCGCCCTAGTGGTGATGCAGATGAAGATGTCAAAGGCCATTTGCAAGAAATATCCAAACTGGAAATGCAACAGCTTCAGAAAGTTTTGTCTGCTTTGGAGTCACAGAACAAACTGCTCAACGAGTCTAGTAAGAAGTATGATGACAAAGTGCTACAGTCATTCAAACAGATTCAGGAGGACACGTCAAAGTGGCATGAGGTAAGGGTAGCTATGCCTCTAGTTTACTTTCTGGTTGGAACTAGCATAGTGCTCATACACTAAGTATATATATATACGAGATCGGACATTTTCTTTTAATGTTGTTTTATTTTCAGTAATTGTTGAACCGAATTTAATTTTGATACCCTCTTGATTTGAAGTAGTTCAAGTTACGTGTTCCAGATATTGTACCTTTTATGAACAGACTTGTGCCCTGAACGGGTTATGTCCTTTTATATATCAACTTCAATTGCTTAAACCTCTACAGCAAATACAGGAGTGGTATGGAATTAGGTTACATCCATTCAATACTTTAAGGTGTTTCAGGGCTCTGGTCTTCCGACTTTGAAATCAGTTTCCAATAGTATAGAACCAAGTAAGTGGAAAGCTAGGAAAACTCTCCAAACAACTCAAAAAGTTCAAGAACTTGGCATTATGGATTTGAACAAGGGTCACTAGCACCACCATCCAGCATGATACAAGCTGAACTATCACCACATAATGGAAGTAACATTTTGTAACACTTTGTAGGATTACTGCATTTGTCTCAAACGTACTTGTACTTGTTCTAGGTTATGTCATTAAGTAACATGAAATGACTGAAGAGTCAGAAAGAAGCTGCCTTAGAAAAGATTATAAAAGATCCGACATAAAGAAAGATTATAATGCTTTCATGAAGAAATTGGCCGCGTTCTGTGAGACAGTGGAATCCTGTAATAACGAGAGGGAGTGGACTGGTGCGAAATGTTCGTTATAGCAGGATTCACGTTATTAGTGATCCAACAGTAAATTCAAGGAAAATAATCAAGTAGGCCTAATCTATGAGTTTGGTGTTCTGTTTATTTCTTTTTTTGTTATCTCCCCTGATGATACTTTTGTTCATCATGACCTCTTGACAGCTCAGCTTTGGCAATCAGAAAAAAAGGGCTCTAGGCTAACTTGCCTCCTGTGTTGTCCCCCACCCCACCCCACCCCACCCTGTAGTGCATTCTGTCAGCTTGCGCACATTGGGTACACACCACACCCTGCCTAGGTCACATATTCGCTCCATCCATCACAGCACTGTGACCTCTCCATCCCGGCATCGGAGAAGTGAGAGGCATGGTAGGCCTAGATAATCTAGACTTGACTGGCCTATCACAAGATGCGTTCTGCTTGTCTGCGCATGCCACACCCTCTCCACTCATTCGCTCTGGCCTTCATTGTTGGCACACGTGGGCTCTCCCATTCTTTGTTTCACTAGATCACCAAGTTTCTCAACTTTCGAGGTTTTACATATTAGTTGGCCTACGCGCTGTTCACAGGATCAACAATATTTCGCTATAACAGACTCACTTGTTTGTCTGTTTACGCTCTAGCAGTATTTTATTTACAAAGATGAAGAAGTGGAAAAAAACAAGGTTTTAGAATAGTGTCTTTAAAACTGACATCTCTTTATTTCAGGACTCGTTATAAGTGGACCCCATTGTATTTTATTTTATATATTGTTTTTCTCCAGGCGGCTTCAACCATTTCCAAGGATGTCAGAACAAAATTGATAGATGCCAACATGAAAGCTTCAAGTTGTGAAGAAACGAACGGTCATCAGAGGATGGACAGTGTTAAAGAGAGAGCATGAGAGTTTTTTCAACCAATTTCTCAGTTTGGACATATGTTTAGGTGATAGTGGAAGATGGAAGTCCTATAAATGTGGGTGGTTGGTGGGTGCTCTGATGTGGTTTGCTTCTTCTTTCCTATCAAAGATCTATCGTCCTTATCTCCCCTTCTTCTTTTTTATGTTTGTTACTCTCTTGTAACACCTCTAATCTTCTGGGGCTCATATGAACTTATGCAGTTGCGAGTGCCGTAAAACCTCTACTAAAACTAAACTAAGGTCCTATAAATTGTACTCACCATCATCTGTTTCTGGATACCCTAACAGGATGGAGCTCTGGTGCCTTATGTTTTACTTTGTTTGTTGTCTCTTCATGTGTACATTGATGCTAGCTTTTTGATGTTTGTTTTGCAGCAAGTTGTTGATGTGTGCAATGGTGTAGTCTACTCACCATTCTACGTTTTATCAATGGCTCTCTTCTATTAATCTGTTTGTGGCAAAATATGGCCAGTGCTATTCTTCCTTGCTGTGAACTACAATTTAACATTGATGATTTTTCAATAAGTCTGATATTTCCCAGTCCTTTGATGGTTTTGTACAATGAGCGTTGCATCTATTTCTAAATCTGATTTTGTTTGCTACTTAAAATTTTCAAGTAGAGTGTTTGTGTGTCAGCAAAAACTTATTTGTTTTACTGCTGGACTCGAGTTTTTAGGCATGGGTTGAAATCCAGGTGTGTTAAATACCTCTTTCTGGCATAAGGAAGGTAGTAAAGATGGGTGGTTGGTGGGTGCTCCAGTTCTGGTGGGGTTTGCTTCTTTCCTTTCAAACAACTATCGTCCTGATCTCTCCTTTTTTTGTCTGTGTTTGTTACTGTCTTGTAACATTCTCTAATCTTCTGTATTTTACATATGACCTTATTGTTATAAGCGCCTTAAAACTCTTACTAAAATTAAGCTAGAAGGTACCCCCCGGGGCAGTGCCACTGACTGTAGTGTCTTTAGACCATTCCCAAAGGGGGGACATTTCTCGTTCAAGCACAGTAGAATTGAAAATAGGCTGATTCATCATGTCACGCTCATAACTGTGCCTGATCTGCAACAGGGAACTGCTGCTTTTTCTTTCCTAATCCTTACTATTGTCATTTTCCTCTACTTTTTTTGTATGTTTGTCACTCTTGTAACCTGCTATTTCTGGGGTGCCTTGATGGTCGAAGAAGACCTTGTGCTGTTGAAGCTAGAGAGGTGAGCAGAGTAAGTCTGATTCCCTGTAAGGACTTCTCTGTTGACACCCACCCCTTGGCGCTCATATGACTTTATGAGTTGCGAGCGCCATAAAACCCTCTATTATAAAAAAACCAAAAAACTAGAAGGTGGTAAAACTGACAGACTAGCATCTTGTTGAGGCACTGGTCTTGTATATTGACGAAAACAGTCGCAAGCCCAATAAGTTAAAAAATACCTACATTCAAGGAAAATAGTGTGTGAGGGTGAAGCATGCCAGAACACAAATGGTAATTCATCATTTTTGCACCGTTAACTTTCAATTAAACTATATTGATACATGATGAAATTGGTTTCCCCACCTATCTTTTCAGGAAAACTTAATTTTAATTTTACACAGTTTGCCTCCTTTACTGTTAATAGTGTTAATTGATATTTGCTTCTCTCTCTGCAATGGTGTCTGGGATAAGCCAGCTCTGTTGGGTTTTTTGTCTCAAAAGAATTGTACGCATATTATGTGTTATAAGGATTTGTATTCGTTTTTGTAAAAGTTAAATCTGGGTGTTTTTACACCGCCATCTGCGCAATTTAAATCATTTTAAACACCTGCCTGACCATGCTTGTTACGGTCAACCCAGGCTGATACAGGTACAACACTCAGCGGAAAGACGGAGATTTTTAAATAAAAATCTGCCCTCTTCGGAATGGAACTCAGGTCTCCTGTGCACGGCAGTGTAACGCCTATCCGCTACAACAAAGACACCAGTCTTGTATTCATGCCCAGTTATACTTAAAAAGAGTTTATTCACATTACCTCTTTATGTGGCTTTTACTTTGGCATGCTGAAATTACTGTGTTGCCCTTTTAATGCCTATTATTTTAAAAGATATTGTATTTCTGTGGACTTAATTTTAATAGATATGGTTCTCCCTGTTTGCTCTCATTTTTATAATAGAGTATGGCAATTAGTCGAGCAACTTCAGTCTTAATACAATTGTACATGGAGTATTGACGATCTTGACCCTAGCTGTCTGGGTTATTCAGTTGTCTTGAAATATTTCTGTTGAGCCTTTGTTGTATGTTCATACTTCTGTTTACTGCTTTTTTTTTTAAAACAGGCAGTTGCATAGAGCTAAAAATTGAGTTTATGATCATTGGGTATGTCATTGGAAGTTTGTGAAAAAGGTTCCCAATACTAATGATATTTCGTTGTAGTCTTATAGTGCTGGGAAAAGAGCAGTGCCACAAACTGATGTTATTTTTATACGTGCTTGTCTTTACTCAATAAACAAATAAAGTCTCGCTCCAGACAATGAAAGTCTCATGGAGCTTATGAAATTCTTTAAAGTCTTCCATTGGCGAGGTTGTACCCTGGTACTTGATCACTAAAAGTTTTAAAGATAAAT